TGGACGGCCAGCAGGACAAGTGTCCCAAGTCCCCAGCCTTGCTGTCCAGAATCCACTCGAAGTGTGCACGGTGAGTTCTGTCAGGTAAAAGCACCACGCCATGTCCCCCCGCGCCTGGTTCTCAGCGCAGGCACTGTGTGCCTCCTGGCTCGTTCCCGAAGCGGAAATGAGCGCTGAACACTCTGAATCGATCCAAGACACCGAGGCAGGCCCCCGACAGCACAAATGAAGACACTCAGGAAAGAGGACTCGCAGAGCTGCTTCAGAAAGCAGCAGGACCATGGGATCAGCGCTAAAGGGGGCCTGATGGTAGTGTAGCTTTTACTGCAACTGATCTCTTTAAAAATATTAAACATAGTATTGTTTTAAAATCATGTGATCCACCCTAAAATCAGCTGTGGAAATAAGAAAAAATATATCGGGGAGAGAAATGCGGCACAGAATGTCACACTCATTTATCACAAAAAATCTGTTTCAAAAACAAACTAAACATCTTCCAATCTGCCTCCAACAGGGCCTGGGATCTGGCCGGCCAGGCGTGATAGGGCATCATAACAAAGCACAGGGTTTTCCTGCTCACCACCTTCCGACAGCAAACGTGGGAAATGGGACCGATAGGGCTGGCTCTGTGCTGCGGAGAGGAAGCTTGAACTATGAGTCATGCGGCTATCTCTGCACAGGAATGGGAACGGAAGTCCCTGCTGGACAATCACACCCAGCAGAGGCTGCTCTGGCATGCGCCCGGCACGGAGGGCACTTCACCCCTTGCAGCCTTCGCCCGGCCGCAGGGAGGCGCTGCTGGCCCGGACCCCCATCCCGCCCCTGGGTGGCTTCCGTGTGTGCTGCGTGCGTCCTGAGCGCCTGTCACAGCTGGCCAGCAGGGACCTGCACCACTGCCCCACGGAGCTGTGCCCCCGCCTCAGAACAGAACCACCATGCAGGTCAGACAAGACAGCCTCTTAAATTGCTATGGGTCCAGAGTAGAGGGCAGAGGAAGTGTGGGCAGGGAAGGGGGGCACGCTGGTGCGGGAAGTGGTGCCAGGGGAAGAAAAGACAGAGGGGGATGGTGAGGCGAGGCCCCTTCCTCCCCAGGCCTCAGGCCCAGCCAGTGTGAGCTGGGGCGGCACAGGTGCAGCCTCTTCCTGGTCTGTCAAGCCCTCCGGTGACCTGGACCCGAGGCTCACTGCTTGCTGTACCAGGGACACCGCACACATCAGCTGATGCTCAAGAAGTCCTAGGTGAGGCCAAGGGGCAAACCTGAGGGACATTTCTGCTCTGCAATGTCAACCATTTCCATAGTGAGCATTTTCCTTATTTACAAGCTTTGGGGGAGTTCTTTGGCTTTGTTTTGCTTTATTAAACACGAGGCTACAGCGGGCGATACCACCTACCTCTCCTTTGTAGCTCCAAGTAGACTGAAAGTTTCCAGATTTAAACTTTCGAGGCGGGAGTTTAAAAACCCTTTCTATATGTTTACTCTTAGCATTTATTCTTTTCCTGAAAGTTTCAACATGACAAACTTCTTGGGGTAAAGTTTAGTCTTCTGAACCCCCGAGAGTATTTACTGAGCACACGTACTAATGCAGAGAATCCTCTACTAGAAGACCGTCATGTACCCCACACCACCACCAGCGTTTCTGCGTACCACCCCATGTCCTCGCGGGAGCGCTGCACAATGCAGGCGGGAGGACATTGAGGACCAGGGGCTAGAAGACTGCTCCCTGCCTATGCGTGGGCCACAGGGCATGAGGCGCGTCACATGACTGCCTCAGTTTCCTCCTCTGTAAAGGAGGAACCACATGCTTCTAGACATGACAGAGCTGGGGGCCAGGTAGCAGGAACACATACGCCCTTTAAGGACCTTACGGCTTGGGACTGGGACAAGTGGGGGCAGGCACCTGCAAGGGCGGCAGACTCCTGGTTCTGATCTCCAGCACTGCAGAAACAAGACCTCAGAACCAAAGCCTGGCACTGGAGCAGAAGGCAGGACCGGCCTTTGGCCTCCGACCGGGTCTATGTCTCTCAGCACAACGCCCTCACCATGCGGCAGGCAGGGGGTGCCACCCAGCATAGCACAAGCTCAGGGTAGAGCTGGGGCACCTGCAGATGCCTAGATGGACGGAGTGCCTGCCCTGCTCTCTCCACCCCATCAACCTGGACAAGAGCAAGGCTTCCTTTCAATTGAAACCCCACCCTGAAGAATGGAAAACACTTCCCAAAAGTATGCATTCCCACATGGGCTGAACCCCGCAGTGCAGCACATCTCACCCAAAGCAGCCAGCCTGTCTGCACTGGGGAGGAGATGCAGCCCAGGATGGGGCTTTCTAAGCATTTCTGCTACACTGTTTTGGAGATTTTTGTGAGTAGTGAGAAGCCAAGCACCAAGAAGGCTGGAAATGTCAGGGTCACACTAGGAACCAAGGGTCTAGAAAACTCTGGTCATGAGTGTGGAAATGAAACCTAAGGGTGAAGCTGTGGCCATGGGCAGACCTGTCCTCGAGGTGGAGTCCTTGGGATGGGTGGACTCACCTCGTTGTGCTCCAGGCAGTAGATCATCAGCTCCGACAGGATGACCACGCCAGTCCTGCCCACACCAGCGCTGCAGTGGACCACGATGGGAGGGGCCCGGTTCTTGGCACCTTCCAGCATGCTGTTGGTATGGCGACGCACAGACTGGATCTCCTCCAGGTAGGCTGTGGACAGAATGTGTTATCTTGTCACCGCTACGCAGCTCTGCACACAACTGGGGTGGGGGTGGGGGGGACACAGGACCAGTGCTGAGTCTCTCCTGTTCTTTCTAAGTGACAGCAATTTGCAGTTCTTACAAGACATTAATTATTTGGCTGCTACCTGCTATATAGTCTTGGATCCAGAAAGGACCAGCTGGGAGTCAATTAGTCCAAGGGAGAATTTGTTCTTTAAATTAAACAGTTCTTTTTAAAAAATTAAATTCTGTTTTCCCCTCTGCAAATCCCCAAGTCCCCTGAGCAGATGATTCCAGACATTACTTACAGCAATGCCTGTAAGAGTAGCAGTGAGGTCCCCTTCAAACGCCCTGGTGGCAGAGCCAATTTCTGCTGCAGAATAGCAACCACCTGCCCTGTCCCTGTCCACGCGCAGAACCAGTATATGTGAAGACTTTATTTTTCGGTTTTAAAACAGACTCTAAGGAGGGTGCTTGTCAGCAGTGGCTCCCTTAGGTGAGTGAATAGGGGGCTGGTGGGGTGGGCTGTGAGCCCCCTACTGTTCCAACACTTGCCCAGCCCCTGGGGGTCTGCCCACCACTCCTACCAGAAGCCAAAGGAAACTGACAGCAATGCCAGCCTCAGTGGAAAAAGGGAGAGTACCCAAATGTAATCACCAGCGAGGCCAGACATCAGAAAAAGTCACTTGGTAATTTAGATTTCTGCAGTAGCTCCAGGGACAGATGGGTTTAAAGGTTCTTGATACTCAGAAAACCTTGGCCTAACTGAACAATGTAAACATGGAGAAATGCTCTAGCTGGTAAAGAGAAAAAGGACGATGAACGATTCTAGTAATTTACTTATTTTTCTTTCTTTCTTTTTTTTTTTTTTTATTTTAGGGAAGGGTCTGCAGGGTGTTCAGGGTCTCACTACTAGATCAGACTCCCAGTAATCTGTGTGTTACAGCCTCCCAAGAGATGGGGTTACAGGCAAGCACCACCACGCCCAGCGTCAACTGCCAGCTCAGTGTGCCCTGGGGGTGGGGCTGGCATGGCAGGCCCTGGGATCAAACCCCCGGCCCCTGAGCCTGCTTATAGGCGCTTTAGTCCACTGAGCTATTTGGTCGGCCCTTATTTGTCTTTTTGAAACAGGGTCTCACTATGCAGCTCAGGCTGGCTGTGAGCTCGCTTTGTAGCCCAGGCTCTTTTCCAATTCTCAAGGATCCTCCTGCCTCAGGCTCCTGAGGGCTGGGATTACAGGTATGTGCCACCACACCTGGTCCGTCCTAACAATTTAAAAGCACTGATTTATATGCAATTAATAAGTACCAATATTTCTCTCTGTAACCTATCCAATTTCAAAGTAATCTGAAGGAGTTTACCCAAGAGACAAACTAGTACTAGTTTTATAATGATGACTAGCAGAATAGTACTAACACGAGTTACACTGAGTGTGGTAGTACTACTGGTAGCAATATGCAATGAGCTAGAAAAAAACAAAACAAAACCACCCTGAGATTAATGGAAAGAAAAAGGCGGAGCCTCCTATGCGCAGGACTCCCTTAGCAATTTCTCCAGAAGGGAGGCAAGGAACCAAGTAACTGGGTTTTGTGCCTAAGCAAGGGTTCACTGACAAGACGTACGGCTTCTCCTGAGCTAAATGTAAAGAGGAAAAAGACATGCGGGCATTTGCACACATGGTACTTTATCCAGTAGAGTTTCTAATAAAATGCAGAGACACTGCGTGGGAATGAACGCTCCCTCTACCAGTCACTCTCACCACGTTCCTGAAGCCGTAACTCAGTGAGGTCTTCGGAAGCTGGGAGACAACTTGTCTTACGTGTTTGCATCCAGGTACATACATTTAAATATTGGCAAAATCCTTAAAACCTACACGGCATCGAAGGTCAACCCTTCTAAGGGCCTGTATGCCTTTGTCCTTGTTTTGAGTTTAACGAAATAACGTAGCAAGTCAATTTATATCCTTTGAAAATAGTCTCTGTATGTTGCAGGAATTTAGATTGGCATTCTATAAATGGGCTCTGGTGCAAAAGATCTGGCTACCCTTCCAACCACCTTGTGAAGTCCATGTTTCACCAGGGCTGTTTGCCAACCATTACACCAATCATCTTCTAGGGTTTTCTATTTTCTGCCTCTTGGAGAAAATTTTTAAAAGTCAGTTAGCAAAAGAGTATCTGAAAGGAATAAAAATGAGAACAGTAAGGAAAGAAAGTTCCGCGGAGGTCTCTGTAAAGGTCTACGCATAACTGACTGGTTGATCTCAGCAAATTATAATGCTGTCTGAAGCTTAGAGCTAGAACAAAAAGAAAAGAGACATTTGAGTAGAGAGAGAGGAGGAGGAGGAGGAGGAAGAAGAGGAGGAAGAAGAAAAGGAGGAGAGAAGACAGACTGCTACTGGGCATTGACAGACCAGCATGAGCTACACACTAGGCAGAGCCTTTCATGGGTCATCTTTCTGTCCTTCACTTTCGGTATCCAGCTTCTAAGAATGATCGTTTTAATGGCAAATAAAACCCTTTATCAGTGTGGATCTACGTACCAAAATTTTGTGATGGAACTTATAAGCTGGTTATTTGGGGGTCTTAGAAGTCTATTATCTCCTTCTTCCTCCTTCTCTTCCACTCACCCCTGTATCCCATGGCCACAAGAATCCAGGTTGACGTCGCCACCTCCCAGGATGGGCAGCTCGAGGACACAGTTACTGGTCTGCCCTTCCCAGGGGACAGTCAACAGCTTAAGAGCCAAGACAGTGACCTCAACTGCATCTCTACATCCTAGTACGGGATCAATGAAGTGCCTCGCGCAGTGGGGGCCTACTCTGAGTTCTGGCCTTGCAAATAAACTACCACCCATACTCTGGTCAATTACTTTCTAAAATATCATGCCCTAAAAATACGTAACAAATGACTTAGCCAGCTGAGCACAGTTTGGTTTCAAAACCTACAAGTTGATTTCATTAATCATAAGCATCTTCATTCATGAAGGGAGGAGGCGGAGGCCCACCGCTGTGGGGAACTCGGGCTTGTGAGGTAGACACAGGCCTTCAGGCGCAACGAAACTGTGAGTTTTAGTCCGCTTCTCTGTGGTGTTTTCTACTTTGGGGAAAATACATAAAACTAGGATTGACATTCTAACCACTTTCAAGAGTACAATTCAGGGCCCTTAAGTGTAGACATAGGGCTGTGCAAACACACCACTCTCCAGTTCTAGAACTTTTTTATTATCCCAAACAAAAACGATGTGCCCATGAAATAGCACATGGCGATCTCCGCTACCCCAGTGCTGTGGCCTTTATTCTACTTCACGGCTCTCTGTCATGTGCTCTGCCTACTTTACCTACCTGGTGGAGGTGGAATCCCACAAGATTTATGCTTTTGTGCCCAACTGATTTCACCGGAAGTAAGTAACATCTTCGAAGCTCACGCAGACCGTAGCATGCACGGTCTTCCCTGCGGTGGGGCGTTGAGGGACACCCAGAAAGTCATGGGCTGAAGGCTCTGGCCCCAGCCCCCAACCGGGAGGCTAAGATCAGCCCTTCCCAGCACCGATCCCACTCGCCCATTCCCCACAGATTTGGACTCAGGACCCCACAGAACTGAGGCACTGGAGAATTCACTGGTTTTTTGTTATTGTTGTTTTGTTTTCCTTTTTCTGTTGTTGTTCAGGTTCATACTTTCTTTCCTGATCATCCGACCCGAGTGACAACACTGTGACCATCTGGGGTCACAACTGTCGCTATAGTCCAGCACTAAAGGACCAGGGGCTGGGACAAATAGACAGCAGCTTCTCGCCCTTCATAAATCAGGGACGTAGGATCTTGGGACAGACATAGGAGCCAAGAGCCAGCCACACCTACATGATATCTCTGAACAACAGACATTTCCTAGGGAAGTCTCGTGACTAGAGAAAAAGGCTACCTACCGTAAGTAACGTACAAGCATCAACACAGAAAACAAATTAAAATCTGAAAAAAAAGAAAGAAAGAAAAGCAGGAAAAGACAACACACAGCCACAATATGCAATTCGAAACCTCCCCACCATAGTACTCAACACAACAGTTACTGATTAATGAATGCCTAATTATCTCATTTGCCTAAAAGGCAAACAGACTATAATAAGGGACATCTAGTATTCTGCTCTGATCAACACTGTAATGAAAGGATAGAATACTTCAATGTCACAAATCTTTTTTCTACTTAAGATAAAGTATCCCCTTCTTAAGGAAATAGGAGGAAAAAAACTTACACAAAAATCCTTGGGCGTCCTCCGGGCAGCCGTGATCCGGCCAATCTGTGTACTGCAAATGCCACACTGTCCTTTCCTGTCCGGACAAAAGGTGCTTGACCTTCAAGCCTGTGGTTGCATAGCAACCTGAATCTGTCCGGAACTTCGTGGTGACCTTGAACTTGCCATAGGTGGCTGAACTGTGCTTGGAACCCAGTTTGGGCCAGTATCGGTGGCTTTTGTTTCGTCCGCCTTCCTGAGAACAAAATGGGAAATTAAGCCAGGGAAGCTCTTACCTTCTTCATCTTAAGATCTGAGATGGACAATGGGACATTCCGAGAAAAGCAAGTGCAAAGGGCAGAGGGAGACAAGCCCGCTGCGTTCAAGAAACAGGAGGGCTCTCAGGGCAGCTGCATGGGGCAAGGAGGTGGGAGCAGTCTCAGCCCCCGCGGAGGGTATGGGTCTTACTCCCAGACAATGGCAGTGACAAAGTTCAGCCTGCAAGTCCAACATCACCAGTCTTTCTCCCTTCCTTGTTTCTTTTCTTAAGATATGCATGGTCAATCATTTACAGGAGGTTTAGTTTTCAAGTTGAGGCAGTTCTGAAAGCACTGCCGCGAGTGGGATGGGAAAAGAGGAAGGCTGAGGATAGGTGGAGGAGGGGGGCACAGTGTCCGAGGCCCCAGGGCTGTTTCCAGGAGCTTCCCTGGCTGCTTTTTGGTAACCATGCGGCACACACTGGTTCGATGGAGGGCCTGCTTTGAAGCCCAAAGCAGGTTTCCCAAAAGGCTCAGGCTTGGGCCGAATGCCCACCAGCACTCTGGATGGAGCAAGGCTGAGCCCCTGCTGCCCGCCGCAGATGGCCAGGCTCTCTCTGTACTGACATGGCACATGTCGCAGATGTCACAGCTCACAGGCGGCCACCCCCTAAGGTCCCTGACCACCCCCTCACGTGGAGGGACACCCAACCCACTGTTCTCTTCCCATGGCCTGGCCGGTGTGCTCTGTGGCACTCAGCGTCACCTGAACATAATTTATCCCTCAAGTTGTACTGTCCCCTCACTAGGACATAAGCTCCATGGGGACAGGAGAAGGCCTGTCTTTCAGCACACAGGCCCAAGGTAGGCACAGACTGCAGGACATTTAGCTGGTGAAGCCCTCACACCTGATAAGGTGACAAGTGCAGTCTAGATACTGTAAGGGAGTCCTCTCTGCTGGTGAGCAGGTCACACTGGTCAGCCCAGGTCAAGGGGCCTTGGAGAGCTGGGGCCTCTTCACACCATCTTCCAATGGGCCACTCTCCTCTGAACTGCCCCGACAATAGAACAGGACCCCACTCCCACCCTCTCTGCCCCTGGCCCGAGCAGCAGTGAGGAAAGGGTTACAGTGACATCTTGAGTCTCCATAAAAATGCACGAAGCTGCTCTGTTCCTGACTACAAAAACAGAAGCTGGCATTTCATGAAAGGAACAAAAAGGAGGTGGCTGGAAAAGAATCTGAGGCTGTGACACGAGGAGAGTGCAGCACCCCTCCCACCCCAGAGCTGGACGGGCAGCGCAGGCTCGGAGCACTCGGCTGCAGCACAAAGCCCGTGTTTGGCTTGGCATGGGAAGAAACAGCGTTGTTTTGCTTCCCCCTCTCAAAGAATAGATACGGCTCCGGGAAGCAGTGGCTTCTGGTCCCCTCTGGGCTGATAAGCACTCCACATGTGGGCCCGGTTCACAAAGGGATGTCACTGGGCTCAGAGCGCCCCCAGGTTCTCCAAGTCCAGGGCTAAGGGGGAGATGCCAGCCCCCACCATGTGCTGCTGGAGCTCCAGTGCAGTGGCTTTTGGTTCTGTGTTGCTTTGTTTTCATCATTATGCAACCCAGAGAAATAGCAGGAGTCATGTGGCCACCAAAGGCGAAAAGCCACCGCAATAAATCATCTAGGCATGGGGACGGACATTCTTAGAAAGGAGATGCAGACCGGGGGACAGGATTTACAGAGACAGAGTGGCGAGGGAAGTGTGGGCGGCAAAGCCCTCAGACCAGGGCCATGCTGGCCACCTCTGCCCAGAAAGAGGATGCAGTGTACAGCGCGCCCCTTACCTCCTCTGCAGTTACCATGGCGATCACGTTCACCCCCTGCTCCCACACCATCTGCCAGAAGTCATGGCAGGTGTGTGGCAGGGGCCCCTGCGTCGCAATGTAGTGCCACTCGGCCCCTCCGACCACCACCTGCAACGGGGCGAGAATTGGCAAAGGAACCCCAAGACCAAGAGGGTCCTGTGCAGACCTGCTCCTGTGGGGCTACCTTCGAACTTGGGTAGCATGCTTGGGGCCAAGTGGGTCAGTGACAGCAGTGACACATTCTCTCAAGGAAATACCTTTTTCTGCCACTCAAATCTATCAAAATATTTTATTTTTTTTAATTTGTGTGTGTGTGTGTGTGTGTGTGAGAGAGAGAGAGAGAGAGAGAGAGAGAGAGAGAGAGAGAGAGAGACCAGCTCAGCCCACCAGGGGGCGAGGCTGGCTGCCATGTGGTGCTGGGGGATTGAACCGCGTCCCTGCGCTTTGCTAAGCTTGTTCTAAATAGGTGCTTTAGACCACTGAGCCATCTCACCAGCCCAAATCTATCAAAATATATTAAACTTATCTACTTTGATCTGTTATTCGCAGGATGCAAACTAGGGCACACTAAAAATGCGTGCATGTGTATGCCAGCTGTGAGGACCACACACAGTAAGCACAGCCCCAGGTGTGAAGGTCACACTAACAAGGGGACAGGTGGCCTTTGTGGGGTTCCTTCTGCTCTCCTTCCACTCCTACACCTGGATTTGCTGAGAGGCCTTCTTCTTACCCACTTGTGTAAAGCAGAACTCCGGAGAGTTCTAGGAAAATCATGTGATCGCTATTTGAATCTTTCTCCCCCTGCTTATTTTATAGTACTTTGATGGAAGCGAAACTAATGTCAGTGATCGTTTCTTCATAAGACATGTTTGGGTCAGAAGTAGCAGGAAAAATCCATTCTGTAAGTATGGTACGAGAAACACTCCTGTATTCACTGGCTAGGAGTTCAGTTTATCTGTGGAATTGTGATTTCAAACATCAGGCCTCTGGCATCCAACATACAGGGGAGCCATAAATCCTTCCAGAGAATGCTGCTGCCTGGGGCCTCTGCAGATTCCAAGTATTGACAGGAGTGAATTAAAAACGGCAGTAAAAACTCAACAACCCGCGCTACCGAGGTAGATTTCACAGATGTGACTCTACCTCTAGAGCGAATAAATCTCTGCTCTGCGTTAACGGCTGCTAGGAACCCAGGGGAGAAAACATTGGCAAAACACACAGCTCTATTCCAGAAATGCAAGGACAAGCCCTTGCAAGTCTGTGGTCTGCTAAATGCAGCGGCGTCTACGCTGAGTCCCGCAACAAGCCGCTGGCCTCAGAGAACGAGCAGGAAGGGAGGCCCCGCGCTTAACTGCACCCGCCAGGCGCTGCTTGCACACTGACAGCTTTTTCCAGGGAGCAGATGGAAAACGGTGGAAGAGATCTGGCTCAAGGAGGAGGCCAGCAGCATACCGTGCCGTACAATTTCACAGGCACTGTGTTGAGGAGCAGCTGCGACCCCGCAATCTTTGAGATCCTGATTCTGCTCCTCGTTTCAGAAGCTAAATAACTCAAGTTCACCCTCCGTTTACCCAAGAGTTTCCTGGGGTTCACTTTTTCATTGTTTTGGCTCTCATTTTTAAAAAATAAGAGCAAACTGCCAGCATGATCTACACTTGTTGCTCTTTCATGATTCTTCCAACATAACTTGCTGATTTTTATGCTTCTCCACTTCAGATGCTAGCTGGGATCTAGCTAAGCTCTGAAATACAGAGGCATGAAGGTCTGAAGGGCCTGAGACACTACGAAAACCCGACAGCACCAATTCACTGACTACTGTGGCGAGTCCTGCAAGATTCAGTATCAAGTACGCTTTATGGTTAAATTAATTCTACACTTGATCTTAGCCAAAAGGCCGAGAAGCGATGGTTAAATTAATTCTAAGCGTTGTACGAAACTGAGTAATACCTCAAATGCAGAGCTCTAGTGCGCTAGAAGGAAGGAGCTTTTCCTGCTACAGCAGAATAAAAACCTCAGTGACCGTGGCACCCGTGACTTCCAAAGTCTCCTTCCCTTACTAATTACTACATGAGAGGGACAATCCTCCTTCTCCCCAGAGGGCTATAACTCATTATAGAAAGACCCTGTATTTGGTACAGGGTCTCACTGCACAAACTTCAGAAGTAGCTGACCTGAGGCTTTGAGCTGAATTATCTGCATGGACAAATGACAGATGTCAAAGCAAGAGACTTTAAAAGCGCACCCCCCACCCGCAGGGGGCCAAGGATAGACCAGGAGGCACAATTGTAGCCTTTGTTTTTTTGTTTTTTTTTTAAAGGCAGATCTGGGCATTGAACAAAGAGCTTTGCATCTGTCTGGCAAGTGTACTCCTGAGCTATGTACCTTGAGCCCTTCTATTTTTCTAAAATTTTGTGGTAGGGTCTAAGTGGCTATATTGCCCGGGCTCATCTCCAACTTGGCATCCTCCTGCCTCAGCCTTCAGGGCGGCTGGGTGATGGGCGTGCACCACCTCACCAGTTCTGCCTCTCTCCGCTCTTGATCTGGCCCTGCAGCCCCGCAGCCCCTACTGCGCCCCCACTCACCCTGATGTGGGAGGCATTGATGTAGCCGGTGTTGTTCTCCTTGGTTGGCATCAGCTCCACGCGGTTCTCCTCGTAGGGCACCACCTCGCGGATCCGGCTGCGCTCTGCGTTTTCCGGCAGGGCTGCCGTGCTGTAGATGCCGTTGGCCTTTTTCTTTGGAATCTGCTCGTACTCTGTGAACACCATCCCCTCTTCTAGCTTCTTCTTCAGGGTTCTGAACTGCAACAGAAGTGAGGCTTCGGCTCTTGGCAGCATCCCACCCAAAGACCCTAACGGAACAACCAGGTTTTCCCTGATATTTTACAGAGATAGACGTGAAGAGGAGTACAACACGGGTTGGTCTGCTCTCATTGTTGGCCCAACCACTAGGTTTTGTCTGATGGTCATTTTCCTTATCACCCACCACGCTATAAATCAAACAAAGTGACTTAGCTGAAATTTAAGATCAATACTTCACTATTAAAGCCTACTTAAAGCCAGAATGACCAGAGACTGCCTACCCTCATTAACCCTTCCTCTGTGTACACAGATGCCTTTACCAAGATACATTTTAAAACAATACGGATCTATAACATCTGGATAAAAGAATCCCTTCCTTTTTATTTTTTGTGTATTTTAGGGAAGGGTCTACAGGGTGTTCAGGGTCTCACTACTAGACTGGACTCATAGCGATCTGCCTGTTTACAGCCTCCCAAGAGCTGGGATTACAGGTGTAAGCCACCATGCCCAGTCTCAATTGCTGTCTCAGCACGCCCTGGGGGCGGGGGCAGCAAGGAGGGCCTGGGGATTGAGGCGCTTTAATACACTGAGCTATTTGGCTGGCCCAATATACATTTTTTTGTGTGTGTTAATAAGAAGCTTGTCAGATAAGACATTCTCAAATGATGAATGAACTTAGGGATATGTTACTTTACGCTATTCTTTTTTTTTTTTTTTTCTTTTAGGTACCAGGGATTGAACTCAGGAGCTTGTGCTTGCCAGGTAATCGCATATTGAACTGAGCTATCTCCCCGGCCCTAAAGAATCCCTTCCTAAGCAAGGTTAGCTCTTGACAAAAATCATAAAACTAGAGGCCTGGAGAAGCAATTTAGCATTCTTGGTCTTACGAAAACAGCAAACAGACCAAGAGAATGGAAGAACCTGACCGGACTCAGCCAGGCTGTGAATGGCTGGTCTGCTGGCCACGTGCTGGTGCTCCGATCTGAAAAGGCAGGAGGAAACGTCCGATGCTGGAAAGAGTAGATTTAATAAGTACAGTTACACCTGGTCTCTGTGCTCTCAAACCGAAGACCTCACTCCTCAAACAGGGCTGGCATGCTCTGGGCTGAGAGGGAGGGAGGGAGGGACCCGGAGACCACCGAGAATAAATCACACATCAGACAGGCCCGCCACTTACCCTCTCATCCATGGGGATTCGGGTGGCATCATGGCGACAATCGTCCCGCCCTGTGACCCGGGCCACCGAGAGGCCATTCAGCGCTGCCAACATCAGCGGTCTTTTCTGTGCCTCCAGGCTTGCCATCTTCTGCTTCTCTAGATTCTTGCAGCAAGAAAAGACATGTTCTCATTGTTTACAATGCCAGCAGAAGGCTGGAATGTGTTTTGATCTCCCCAAATCTGCAACTCCTCAGCCACCGCTACTAGTGGAACAGTCGCAAGCTCCCGCTTTCTTCCCACGGGTGCCCGAGGAAGCCAGCACTTGCTGTACTCCTGCGTTTTTATTTGTAATTAATTCATTCACTCATCAGATAAAGATGAACAAACACACAGTGCTGCACACAGGGCTCACAAGACGGGGGGAGGGCACACGCTTGAGAGAGACACGCTACAGGAAGAGGGGGCAGAAAAAGAGAAAGCCACACGAATAATCCCACCCAACCCAAGGATGGGCCCGTTCCACAGATGGCTGCACCACTTCCAGACCTGCCCTGTTGTTGATGGGGAGATGGGGGCAGAGGCATGACAAGAGGAAGGGCTTCCCAGGTTTCCATCCTAGGGGTGCCAAACTCGTATTTCCAGTTCGCGCGCACTGAGGGCTATGAGTGCCAAAAGCAGAGCTCTTAGTATTAAGCAAACTCCTGATCACATCCTGCCCCCCCCCCAGTACCTAGTGTCGCCTGCAGGCCCCCCACTGTCCTCAACTGAGAGAGGCATGAAGGCAGCCCACTGAGAGCTGTGCCTACAAACACTTTTGTCTTGGAGGTTAGAGGGGCTTTGCTAAGAAAGAGGCGAATTGAGTTTTTTGGTTTTTTTTAAGTATTTGGTACAGGGTTTCACTGCACAGCTTGGACTTGTAGTGATCCTCTTGTTTTTAGCCTCCCCAGTGCTGGGATTACAGGCGCATGCCACCAGGCCCGGCCATGGTGGCTGGCTCAGTGGGCCTGGGGACACGGCCGGCATGGCATGTGGTACTGGGTCCCTGTGCTTGCCTAAGCAGATGCTGAATCCACAGCTATCTCACAGGCCCCTTTTGTTTTGTTTTATTACAACACTCAAGACTGCGCCCAGGCCTTCGCACTGAGTTCCAGTTCCCAGCACTTTCCACCTTGAGACAGGGTCTCACTCATTGCCTAGGATGACCTGGTACTTGGAGTTCTCCTGCCTCAGCCTCCCACAGAACTGGAATTGTAGGAATACAGCACCATGCCCAGCTAGAAACCTTGAGTTTTACAGATTCTGACTGACACAGAGTGCTGGCAGTCTGCAGCCTCTTCTGGGGGAGGATTTCTCTTAGCCCTCATTTCTTATTTTTTTGGTACTGGGAATCGCACTCAGGACCTCGTACTTGCCAGGCAGGCATGCTTATGCCGTTGAGCTATCTCCCAGCCCCTTATCCCTCACTGCTGTTCAAGCCACTAGAGACTTCTTTCTTATTCTGTCCTTTTATAAAGTCACGCTGTGGGGGGGGTGTCCCACTGCAGCCAGGGTGCTGGATCATGCAGGGTGAGCAGATCCTTCCAATCAGGGGGGAGAAAGGAGTGGCCACAGCAGTAGGGATCTCAGGCGCAATCAGAAAGCGGCCTTGTGCCAGGGATGCCTGCGCCCCAGGATCGAGGAGATCCAACAGTGAACAAGGGCGTATCGTAGAGCCGGATGAGCCCACCAGAGGGAGGGGTGGCCACGGACTTCCGGCTAACAGGAACAGCTTTCCTCCCTCAATTCCAGGCACTCATGGGGAGATGTGGCATCTACCTTTCAGCTGTTGACTTAGTAGTTCATTTTTGAGAAAGTTAAATTCCCCTCAGCACCTCTTTTAATTCTAAGTTTTGAGAAAGCAAGAGTCCTGTGGAAATGATCCTGAGGTCCAGACTTTCACCCCTGCACCCCAACTGCACCTCACACAAGACAGAAACTTGCCTGTCTTTTGGAGAAGGATTCTGGTCTACCTACCCACTGAAACCTGAAACCCTGGGTTCATCACAGGTTTCTGGCTCCTCAGCCTATCGGCTTCCAGCAAGAACAAAAAAAAAAAAAAAAAAAATGCCTTCCCTCCTCTGTGGCCCACTTCAGGGTGAGAGCTGGGAGGTGATTTCAAGGCCTCAGAGAAAGAAAGAGCCAGAAAGGCGGAGGCCCTAAAACATCCATCACCCCGCCAGGGCTCCAGTACACCAAGGCGGCCCCAGGGCAGTTCTCCCCACCCCTGCCCCCCACTTCCAGTGCTTATGCTGCGCACTGTTTTCACCCAGACAGAGCTGAGATGGGGGGATGCCCTTAGGTTGGGGCTGAGGTTCTGCATTTACATCCTGGGGTCTCCGGGCTCCATACCGCCTGGCCTCCTCGTCCTCCTCTAAGGTCAGGACCCTGGTCCTGGCTGACAGTCGAAGCGCTTGAGCTCTTGGGTGTAAGGGATTGGACAGAAAATGCCACAAGGAAAACAGACTAGGCCTGGCGTAATTATGTCCCAGAAGGAGAGGCTGTGGGCGAAGTCTGCGGGGTGATATTCTCCACGGTGGAGGAAACAGCATGACAGAAAAGAACAGCAGATGGGGCTGGTGAGATGGCTCAGTGGTTTAAAGCACCTATTTAGGACAAGCTTAGCAAAGCACAAGGACCGTAGTTCAATCCCCCAGCACCACATGCCAGCCAGCCCCGCCCCCTAGTGGGCTGAGCTGGCCACACACACACACACACACACACACACGTAAAAATTAAAAAAAAAAGAAAAAGAAAAGAACAGCAGATCCCGTGCTCCCAGGTGGCCCTGACGGGGTCAGCAGCAGGGAAGGAGCTGTGCCGAAGACATCATGCAATGGAGAGATTCCAGATTCTTCCTGCTAATGCTGTTTTTAAGAGGTGGGGCAAGAGGTGTGCAAAAATCCCCTGATGCCAACGAGTCACTGTTTTCCTAGCCGGGAGCTTCTGCCCCCAAGACACCACCCCAGTCTTACTCCCTCTATCCCCAGATTTCCCTTCCACTTGCAAAAGTGGGAAAAGTTAGTGCAGGTTCCAAACTCAAGGCTGCTGGACTTTGCCAAAACAGAGAGGTCGCGGTCATCTCTGCGTCACAGTCAAAAAGTCGCTAGGGACTGGGTGTCTGATTGGGTTTCCGGGCACAGCGACTCTACCCCTCACAACTTGGCCCACTCGCTCTTCTCCTGGACTGGACTTCACAATGGGGTTGCACGAGCCCCACCCAAGCCAGGGTTAAGCTCCCACCGTTCTGGGGATCCCAGGTGGTGCAGTCTGGCAAATGACAAGAAACCAACCTGATTTCATTAGTTATGTCATGAAATGATTTTTCTGAAGAAGTGAAAATTTCCAGGACAGCAGTAACGGAGAGTCTAGTTTGGTTTTGGTAGCAAAAACCAAAGCTGGGCTGGGATCGAACCCAGCATCTCTGCACTGAGCTGCATCTCCTGTCTTTTTCTCTATTTTTTATATTGATCCAGGGTCTTCCTAAGTCTCTAGATTGCCAACACTGAGTGCAAATTTATGATCCTCCTGCCGCAGCACTCAGCGAACTCTAAAGATCCTTTAAAAGCAGACCAATGGGACTAGGAGATAGCTCAGCAGTCTAAATGCCTGCCTGGCAAGTGCAAGGGTCTGGGTTTGATACCATACACTGTGCCAGCCCCAGAACCCTGCCCGTAGTCCCAGTGCTGGGGAGGCTGAAAACAGAAGGATCACTGAGTCCACGCTCTGTTGTGAGACCTTGCACCAAATACATTAAAAAAAAAAAAAAAAGATGCACCCCGAGACCATAATGGTGAATAAAACAGATGCAGGAGCTGAACTACCACATGGCTTCTCTTAGATAAGAAGCCCAATGTACACAGAAATCAGAGCAAAATAAAAGGTAAGAGGAAACAGGGAAGTAGGTCTTTTTCAAACGGAGGAAAAGGGTAGAGGAAGAAGGAGAAACAAAAGAATTAAGATGTGTTAGGAACATGTTTGTTTTATTTATTTATTTATTTATTTATTTATTGGTGGCCGGATGAGCCCACCCTGGGAGCGGGGCTGTTGCATGTGGTACTGGGGATCGAACCTCGGTCCCTAGGCTTGCCTAAGTTTGCCTAAGCAGACGCTTTAGACCACTGAGCTATCCTGCCAGCCCGAGTGCTATGAACACGTACCAGCTCCAGAGAAGTGCGACCATTATATAATGCAAGCAGGCACTAATAAATTTCTGAACATGCACAATAGACACAGACCTGACCGGCCTCACACCTGCTCGGGCACACGGACCCACGGAGGACATGGGGTGGGGGTGGGGGGCTGGACATGACACACGGACACACTTACCCTCAGCATCATTTCCCGCTCCACGATGCTGTCCTCCAGGGAGAACATCTCGGACACGGGCCGCTCCTTCACTGGCTCCTTCTTCACCCGTTCCTTCACGCTGGTCAAGTCAGGCTCCGAGATGGACGGGCCCAGGGCAGAGCCGTTGATGGCCAGCTGGTCTGGCCGGGAGCCACTGAGCACCTTTGCGGGGCCATGCCTCAGCATCCGGGCCCTGGCCGCAGAGGGGGCGAGGGCGCCCTGGTCCTGCCTCAGCGCCCCGTTGCTCACGCTCTTCCGGGGTCCCGGGTACTCGGGCGGGGGTTTGTTGGGGATCCGGGCCAGGGCGGCCTGCAGCTGGGCACTGTACTCCACCTTCTCCTGCAGCGCAGGCATGTGCGGCGGGGCAGCCGCGGGCGCCTCCTCCTCCTCCTCTTCCTCATCCTCCTCCTCACTACTGTGGATCAGCATGGTGGCGTCGGACAAGGTCTTCTGGTGGTGGAACTGCGGCAGCTGTGCCGCCTCCTCGGGCGGGCCCTGCTCGCGGAGCGTGTTGCGGCGGGCCACTGGGCCGTGCAGTGACTTCAGCGTCATGGCTTCCATGCCGCGCACCATGCTGCTCATCACCTCCAGGCTGTGGCGCTTGGCCGCGCCGTGGTGCCTGGTGGTTGGCAGGGGCTCGCTCACCTCCTGCAAGGACTGGTGCACCACAGGCGAGCTGTCCTCCTGGAAGGTCTTCACAGACAGCTGCACCTTGCGCGTCACCAGGTCAGGGCTGCTGCCGCTCACGTACCTGTGGCGGTGGCTGGCCAGGTCCGGGGTGCTCGTGGCGGGACGGGGTCGGGGGTAGGGTGGGGGCGGCCGGAAAAGGTAGTTTCTGAGCACGTGGGCCGCGTGGTAGCCCTGGGGCCCCTGCAACTGCATGTTGGCCAGCTCTGGAGTGCTCACCGTGTGTGAGATGGCGCTGGCCCGGGGCTTGCTGGGCACCACACCGCTCTTGGGGTTCATGTGGTCAGCTGGATTGACCAGAGCATGGCTGTAACCCCCCTGCGGGGCGTAGGGTGCACTGTAGGGGTGCCGGTCGCGCATCTCCGGCTGGCTGTACACCAGCTCCTCGGGCTGGCTATAGGCGTGAGCGTTGAGGATGCTGAGGTTCCGCAGGGATTGGCTGTGGCTGTCTGCGTGCACCACGCCCCTCTTCATCTGCCGCATGACTGTCTCATAGTCAGGGGTCGGCCGGTAGGACGGCACGATGATGGCGCTGTGCCGGTGGCTGGGGATGTAGTCGGGTCGCATGATGTCACTCCCGGGGATGCTGAGGTTGGAGGACACCGGGGAGGCCTGGATGAAGCTCTGGGGGCAGCTGAGGGAGTTGATGCTGTGGACGCTGCACACGCTCCCGTTGGTGACGGTGCCATTCAAGTAGCCTAAGTCCAGGCTGTTGTGAGAATTGCAATACAAGGCCTCTTCATTCCCATGGAAAATGCTGTCTACAAGTCAAACACACAGAGGAGCCTTCACACCATCATATGTCGCACAGTTCCTGCCCACTTAATGTAAGTCATAACTCCTGTGACCTCTGCACACATATTCCACAGAACTGATACTATCTCAGCTACGATTCCCACATACACAAAGGACCCTCTAGAGCATATTGAAAGTGCGAGCCTGAATAGAGGAAAGTACACAGGGCACAGCTCTGGGTTAGGCCACGAGCTTTACCATCAAACCCCCGACTATGTCCCTTGCATTGGACAGACGCCTCCTCCTATGCCTGATCCAGCTGTGACAGGACTAGATATTGGGGCCAGGTAGTCAACAACTTCAGTGAAGCAGTAAGTTTGAAATTACCCAGTTCCTGGCCTGGCTCTTACTGACCACAACAAAAACGTCCCTTTGCCCGAGGCACTGCTGAGCATTCATAAAGAGACAGCCAGGAGGTCAGCAGGCTGGATGGTTCGAAGCAACAGCGAGTGGAAGGCAAATGAGAATCGTGAGTTCACCCAGCCACTCCTGAAGTCTCCCTCTAGCTCTGATTTCATCGGGGGGCAATTCTAGTAAAAGAAAAATTATAGTCAAAAACCTAGAGAGGGGCCAGGGAGATGGCTCAGTGGAATAAGCGCTTCCCTGGCAAGCCCAAGGGCCTGAGTTCAATCCCTGGTTCCGCCAAAAAAAAAAAAGAAAGAAAGAAAGAAAAGAAAAAACCTAGGGAGAGCAGTGGGTTTCTAAGTGAGGTCTGTTCATTCCAGATGGACCTATTTCTTCATACCCCACGCTCTAGGCAGGTGGCCTCCAGCTAAGACACTTCTGAGACCTGGTCACATTCAGGCTCACCGTCTACTTCAGCATGAGCATGAGCCAAGCAGATAAGGCAAAAGCAGAGACAGTGACAGAAAGCATTCAGCTGTCTGAAAAGTAGAGCGTGGATCCAGATCTGACCAGAAGAGCCAGGCAGGAAAAGTTCAGAGAGCCCAGAGGCCAAGGTGCTGCGATTCACCTGCCTCCAGGGGCTTCGGGGGAATTTTGCTTATAAAATGTACTCCCATGATGAACTCGACAGAGTTGGTGTCGGTTCCCATTCTCAACCTGTCGTATCGCAGAGGATTCAAACTAGCCAGGCAGCAGTAGCATGGGGACTTATGATCCATTTAATACAATGTCAGCATCTGAGGTCTTCTGCCATCTCATCTCCTTTATTGACAAGGGACTGGAATCAGGATTCAGAGGTGCCGATTTGCAGGCCCCAATGCCACCATCCACCTCCCTACGCCCCACTTCCCGTGAGGCGGCAGTAACAGCAGCACCACAGCTCATGAGGACGAATCAGACGCCACACAGCGAGCACTCCGAGTGGCTGCGCATTACCGCCGCTCTATTCCGTCAGTGGTTACCACTGCCACTGCCATTCCTGATGGAATGGGTGCTTTCATGCATTTTTTCATGGGACATGTTTAGGGACAAAAAGAGGAATAAAACAGATTTTGTTTATCCCCAGAGGCGACGATCAGTCACACCAAGAAAGAGGCTGGAGCGAGAGAGGAGTGGAAAGCTGGGAAAGGCTGGGGCTGTTTCCCCTGGTGGTCCTTGACCCTGCATCCTCTGTCACCACAAGACACCCGCTGCTGCCAGCTTCCAACATCAGCTTCTGACATCGGCCGTGAAGGGTGAATGTGCTCGCTGGGCTGTGTGGTTCCGCTTCCCCAGGCCACGGAGAAAAGACAGGGCCTGCCCAGTGCCTCGGCCCTGGCCCCCCAAGCAGCCAATTCCGGGGAGCCCTCCTTTTAGTGGTAAATGATTTTTTAAAAGCCCTTTCACAGCCCAAGGCTGCTGGCTACTGTCACTCAGCCAATGGCCCTGTTCCAAGGAAGCCACCACTGGCACTTAGGACAAAGACAAGCTTCTCGGCTCCTTCCTGGCACTCAGCTTTCTCCGGGCAGCAGGGAGGCACATTACCTTGAGACGTGTGCGTTTCTGAGTAGTGTTCGCTGCACTGGACGTGCATGGGTGGCAGGATATATGGCTGCTGCCGGGGCTGGAAGAGAAGACACAGGGCTGGGAAGGTCTGGCAGAGGCCCCCTGGCACTAGCCCGCCACCCCCAGCCACAGGAGCCTCCAGTCCCCACTGCACACACTCCTCTGCATCCCGCACCATCACCAGGCTTGGGACTGGAGAAACACTGAGGGAGAAACGAGGAAGCTGGAGTGAGGTCAAGAGAGCCAGAGGCCAGGTCCAAAGCCCAGGGCAGCTATTCATTATCTGTGCCCTCTACACCTGCCTTCTTAACAAGTCGGAGCTAGACCCAGCTAGGAAAGAAAAGCAAACCTGTTTTACTCTACTCAAAACAGACCTCCTCCTGGGGCCACAAACTCCTACCCATCAGCACTGACCCCGGTCCACAGATCCACAGCGACTACCAACAGGGACAAGGTCATTAGTGTCAGCTGAGCCCAGCAGTGACGTGACATAAAAATCCACACAGTGACCCGTAGTGAGCCTATTAGTTCTCACAGCCGGGCTGGGGGACATAGGCTGAACACATCTCACCCCGAAGCAGAATCCTTTCCATTAGACTCTTAAGGGTGGCCACTGAGGTGTGGTCCCGCCCCTGCCTGCTACAGGAGAGGGCAATGCTTTCAGAGGAATAAAAAAACAAAAGCAAAACTTTAATGGCTTCACTGCTGGGTGGGCAAAGGCCATATGGAGAGACCCAACTGTAACCTAGAACAAGTTGTGTGACCTCACCAGGGTTCGCGTTCCACGCAGCCAAGCCTCATAGCTCCTTCCCTGACCTCGAGCACCCATGTTACCATCTATCAGGGCTCCAGGAAAGAGACCCCCACCATGAAAGTATCCAAGACAGAGGGGCTGGCAAGTCACCCAACAGCACGGTCTTTTACATTTCTACAGGCTTTACAGATGTCATTTTAATGCTTCAGGGCCCGGGAAATAGCTCAGCGCCATAAGTGCCTGCCTGGCGAGTGCAAGGTCCTGAGTTCGATCTCCCGTACCAAAAATAAATAAATAAATAAATAAACAAAAACAACAACAACAAAAAACAGCTAATGCTTCAAGCAGAAGAGAATGCTGACAAAGCTGCGAACAAATAAGAGGCCAAAGCCATCAGGAGCCCCAGCTTCTCCACATCAAAGGGGCAAATAAAGAAGGGAATAAAGACATGGGGCACGAAACGTAAAAGGAAATCAAGAGAGAAGAAACAAAAGAATTGAAACGCAACGCACCTTGGAGACCAGCACTTGGTACCAGAGCAGAGGGGCTATGTCCGCGTTTCTAAACATTCTCAAGTGCTCGCCTGGCTGACTTTTGAGTTGTAAATTAGAAATATTTTTCCTTGATAATACATAATTCCACTACATTTGTCCACCTCAGGATGGTTGACTTAAGCGGGTTTTTTTTTTTTTTTCCCTTCCTTTAAATGGGAGGAGGGATTTGTACAAAGGAACAGAAATACACGGCAAAACAAAGATCGTCTATGATCTCTTCTTGCTCTTATTTTAGAAAAGAAATCTATGAAGTGACTGTTTACAAGCTGACCTAAGCGTACAAGCACACGGTAAGAAGAACTAATTTTTGTACTATCACACAGCAGCAGAGGAAAGAAACAATCAGGGATCGACTGGTACCCTGGCCAGGGACAAGGGCGAGAGACTGGGCGTCTGGATGTCCTCTCTCTTGCTGCAAGAACTCTTGTGACTGTTCCTAGTCTCACAGGCAGGGAGAGAGGGAAGCCCGAATCTGCTTCCTCTGCACCATCTGCATCCCAGTAAGAAAGGTAGGACTTGCTCTCCTCTCTGGATAACGAGATCAGAGCCCACAGTGGCTTTAAACAACCTGCCTCCCGCAGTCTTTTGGACATGAAGGGTCTTACTAATTAGGACACCAGATTGTAAAGAAAAGGAACTCTATTAACAAAGAATGAAGAAACCAGCGCCATGGATAAGTCCACTGGTGCTCCAGGGAGAGCCCAGCAGGTTCCTCAGATCTCCAAGGCAGAGCACGCATGTGACAGGCTTGGACAACATGCAGCCAGGCCTCAGAGGCTGTCTGGGGATGCCAGGGGCCCAGCTCTGGGCTGCAAGAGTCCATGGCCACGCATTTTCCAGAAAGAGTAATTACCTTCTAACAGACAAGCTAAGGACATATTAGAGGGAATACACTTCAGACAAAACTACTTGACGCTCTGATCAGCTCAAAGGAACTGTTCATCTAGAAAGATAAAAAGGCCACATATCTACTTCATTTGTGCATAGAAAGCCATCACCTTGAAGAACTATGACCTCACAAGCAGAAACTTTTAAAGAAGACTAACTCTTGACATCTGTCATATTATCCTTAAATAATCCTCAAAGTAACAAGTCTTTGAATTCACACTCACAAAATGAATACAGTAGTTAAAACAGAAAAGAAAAAGAAAAAAAAAAGACCTAAAAGATTCGGGAGAAAAGTGGATCAATTCAAATGTTTTTGACTAATCAAAACCTTAAAATTAGGAAACAGACAATCAGTTGTTCCCACCCAAGACTCTTCCTAAGACCACTAACTAGTCATTCAATCTCTGCTCACTCTGGAGGGATTTTCTGATGAGCTTATTAAGTTCAGTCTACAGCCGGGAACACAAAAGCATTAGTGAAGCTTAGAACTGAAGCGATGTAGCCACGCTATGTCTAGAAGAGATGGAAGGTGGGAAACACGGCAAAAAGGGCAGAGAGTCACACGGCGGTGGCCGCTGAAGACGAAGGTGCACGGGCAGGAGTCAGACCTTCAGGAAGCAACGGTACCAGGGGCCCAGTGGAGCTCACCAACACCCCCCCCACGCCCTGGCAGGCTGAAGCCCCCTACAGTCTCGCAAAGCTCGCCCCTGCGCACGAGACCCCCAACCCCTTTCCTGCAGCGCTTCCTGCCAACAGCCTGCCTGCTGGATCAGAAAATGTCACACTCACCAGGGAGGACCGGCTCCAGGTGGGCTGGCGTCTGATGGGGGGCGGGGAATTAGACTGCCTAGGTGATGAGTTGGAAAAAACAGAGTGGTGATTATTACTGACCAGCTAGAAACAGGGCAGACAGATGAGGGAAGAAGGCAAGGGAACGATGACCAGGTCAGCCAGAGGTACACCAAAGCATACGCGCCATCCACGTCTAGATGCTGAGAACAGCTTCCACTTCCTTTTTTGTCCTTCTCCTTATTCTCAAAATGTCTGGAACTTACACTATTCTAGTAATAAGTTTTACCAGCCAATATTAAAAGAATGAGAATTTTTTCAAAGAAATAAAACTGACAAGTACCACCATTATGATTATGCAGATGTTCAAAACTTGTGCTCTTTTCGCCTTTGTGAAATCTCTCATAATAAAGATCAGGAGAGGCAAAAAGAAAAAAAAAATCTTTAAAAAAATGCTTTGAAGTCAAATGAAATTCCAAAGTAGGTAAAATATTTTTCAGCATAAGCCTATAAAAACACTTCTTGTTGCGATAACATGTATTACAAGTACTTCTCTGACCAGATCCTTTTTAATTCTATTTTCTTCATTCAGTGGCTAGGCAAGTGTACTACCCCCGAGCTACATACCCTCAACCAGACTGCTACAGTCGGAGCACCAAAGGGATTTAAATAAGAAAAAAAAAAAAAGTAGAGCTAAAAATGCGTGAAAGAGTGGAATCCTGTCCAGTTCTTGAAAGCTGAAGTCCAAGATACTTTTGACCAAGGTGCCCTAAAGGCTGCGGCAGTGTTTCCCCAGTCCTCAGAAAAAAATAAAAAGGACACGAGGCTTTTGTCAAGTTAAAGTTCTTTGGAGGACTCTTCATGCTCTCAGCTCACCCCCTTCCTAACTTCTTGGTCATACAATTCTCTTACGACATGACGGACATGACAGAGTAATGTTTAAAAAAGATCAGCCAAATAAAATGTCACCAGGACACTGTTCACCATGCTCTCCTCGCCTTTCCTCCCCCAAAGCACAGAAAGTCCTCCCTCGAGTAACACTGGCAGATGTCAAACAGGGGCCCTGCAGGGGAAGAGAAACCGAGGGCCAGCTGTCAGAGGTCAGAGCGCAGACGGCCCCAGACAGGGGCTCTGTGTACCCCGTGGAGGAGGAGGCCGCGAGGTAATGCTACTTGGAAGGATGTCCCATCTCTTAGCAGATCTGTGCTGAGTGGGTGAAATCACATCTCGAGTTTAATATATATGTGTCAAGACAGTCTCAATTTTTAATCAGATTTTTAATCAGCCCCAGGGTAAAAAAATTAAGCTGTCATATGCACATGTTCCAACTCCTCAGGATGTACTGAAAATGTGTACTAATAAAATAAACATTAAAAAAAAAATTCTAACAGGAACCTCCCATACCACGCCAGCAAGGAGCAAAGAAGGCCCATTACAGAAGTAGAATGGAACACACTTTCTTCTTGGTTTTCAGTCTCATAGGTGAAGTTCACTAAATTAGAAGAAAAGATCATAAGGGAAGCAACCCTCAGGAAGTCGTGCAGAGCCGCCAGCTGTTGAGGAATGGGTAAGCCAAAGGGCGACCGTGAAGTCCCTCTTCTCAGCACCGGTTTTGACTGACCCTACAGAAGTCAACTACAGAAATCCTGTTAATGTCAAGGACACCCTGACAAGTCAAAGGCAAAGAACAGAGTAGAATCGCACCGAGCCAACCGAGGAACCTGATCAAAACTGGTGTGCGGCACGCCTGTAAGAACAGGGCTGAGATGTGCGCCACAGCCTAATTTGCCTTCCCTGCTCAGTCAGGCCTTCTGAGTCCCCTGGAGGCCAAACTCACGGGAAGGCCTGGGACTGTCACATGCGTTGTTAGAGCTCGGCACTGACCAAGCGCAGAGCCTCTGCCCTGTGGGGAAAATTGTCGACCCCGACCCAGGCACTTAGTTCTCTGTGCCCGCTGCTGGAAGGCCAAATGCTGCCCCTCTGGGCAGTGTCCCTGTGGGAGCGGGGAAGCGGCTCTACCCTGCATCCACATCCTGACGCTCTCTGAACCCAAATTACACTCCTTGGGTGCTCAGGCGCATGGGCACACTGCTGAGAATGTCTTTGAAGACAACTAAGGTAAGAGGACGAGGGAGCCCGGACTGCGATCTCCGAGGTCAGGCCATACGGAAAGGGCCCACATCACACGTCCCTTTATTTTCAAATTAAATTAAAAAGATGAGGCGCAGATCTGTGACACATTTTGGCATCTTCCAAATCGCCCTCTAATTACCCCGGACCCTCATTTGCAGGCAGACGGCACGACCCAGGAGCGCACGCAGGGTTAGCGGGCTGTGCACTGTGTGAGCGCGGCCGGGCCAGGATGACAGCAGCGTCTTCCCTTTCAAGCCGGCACTGGCGCGCCACTGTCACCACTTCTGAACATGCCCCGTGTCTGACCCGAGGGGCACCCCAGCAAATTGGGCACTGCACTGCTCCTCCGAACTCAGAGCCAGGGTTTGGAACTGCACTAATGCGGCCCAGCCATCCGGGCGGTCAATTTGCAAAGCATTTTCTCTCCAGGCACAGGCTCTGCTGGCGGGTCTTCATCATTAAAGCCTCCCTTCCCACCTGGCCTTCACCTGCTTCTTTAGCTTCTGCAAGGATCAAGGAAGGAGAACAAGTGGAAAAAGTGACCTACAGCCTCCCAGAAACCCCAGATGGGACATGACCGAGCCACCTTGGGAGAGGGTGGGATCGGTGTTTACTTACTCGGTGCAGATTTTGTTTTGTTTATAAAACTTGTGCCGTGTTGTAAATAACCGGGAAACATACTTTGCATTTTCAATGTCATCCTTGGAAAGGAAGAGAGGGAGGGGAAGAAATATAATTATTTTTTGATTAGATGTGCACTGCACTAAGATTCTCATATTGTATGTCCCACATTTCAAGTACAAACTAAGGGCCAGTGAGCTCAGTGAGGGGACCAAGTGCCTGCCTAGGTAAGCATAGGGACTGGGGTTCAATCCCCAGCACCACATGCCGCTCTGGCCCCGCCCCCAGGCACAGTGAGCTGGCCACCGAGACCCAGCATGGTGGCACAAACCCATAATCCCAGAGCCAGGAAGGCTGTAAACAACAGGATCACTATGAGTCCAAGCTGCATAGTGAGACCCTGTACCATGTACCAAATAAAAATACAAACTAATCCAGTGCACCAGGCAGCAACCGACCTGCGAGTCTCAAGGGCAGCACCCTACAAAGCTGGCTGGGGAAGGGCAAAAGATGCTTTCTGCTAAAGCACTTCTGTGTCCAAGGCTCTGGGGCTACGCTCAGGGATTCTGTGATATCCTTACCTAACTCTAAGCCCAAAAACAAATAACTGAGTTAAGGCAGAGCAGAGAACAACCACCAGACAGAGAAGGTCGGGACGAAGGTGGGGAGCAAGGAGGGATTCTACAGCTACTCTAGTCTTCAGGGAAGCTCAGGCTATGATGGGGATGAAACCCATCTCAGCCAGCAAAGGGGAAGGCAGTGCAACCCCACCTGGGACTCCAACAAGGGCACAAACAGAGCGCCAGGGCGTCAGCCCACCAGAGAAGAGCACATCAGGCTCCAGTAAGGCTGCCACAGACATCTGACAGCCAAAAATCACCTTGGAAACAGGCATTTGCGCAAGGGATTTCACCAGCACTCCCCTGAAACAAGTGACTACAGCAGCGGGCAAGGGACAGAAAGAATCTCCTAACGCAACACCCTTCTCTTAAGCCAAGGAGAACAAAGGAAGGACATCAAACAGCGCCCCACCCATGGACCCTGCCCTGCTGCCGCCCGGCTCACCATGTGGAAGAGGGCCGTCTCCTCCTTGCTGACCAGCTCCACCAGGATAGTGGACTTGCTGTGGGTGATGGTCCCGATGTCGTTCCATCTGGCACAGAGGAAATGCAACTGGGTTTGCCCATGCCCTGCTCCAAGGATTCCACACCCAGCCCAGGCGAAGCACGCTGTGTCAAACTGTGATGTAACCCTTTTTCAAAAAGCATCTGAGAAATGCTCCTTCTCACAAAGGAGAAAACCAAACGGAACACAGCACCATCTATTCACACAAGTAAGCATTCTGTGGAAAATGGGTTCGGACACTGATACGCCAGGCTACGAGGTAAAGTGCAAGGGGCTTCTATTGCTTTCTTCCTCTGTATTCCCTAATGCCAAGGCATTGCCATGACCCCTGCTTTTTAACAAGGGAGGAGCAGAGCATTACCACAAAGTCCTGAGTCGCTGAGCCCCTGGACTGAAGAACCCACACGGATGCGGGTTGCCATATGCTCTGCAGAGTGGCCGTGCCAACCCGAACCGAGTGCCCAGGGATACTTCAGTCTGCATTTCTGAGCCCAACGGAGCTCCATAGTTCCCTTTTCTGTCTTCAGGGCAACCCTGTTTCCAATGGGATCTGCTGAAATAAGCACCAGGCAAGAGAAGGTGCTCCGTCTCATTCCCTTTGGACTCTAATCCTGTCTTGAATTTTGTCTTTATTGTTCTGTGTCAGGGCTGGGGATCAAACCTGGGCCAACATGCCAGGCAAGCGCTGCACCCAGACCTACCTGGGGCCAATGCCTGACCCTCTCTGATGACAGCCCACTGTGCGCTCAGTGCCTCAGTCTGGAATCCCAGTTCCATCCATGCCTGTCGCTGATCATGCTCCTGCCATCCCCTGCCTGAATAAATCTCTTCAGGCTCAGTTCTACCAACTTCCCTACGAAGCCCTTCCTCCTCCCCACCACACCCAGGCAAGAAGGAGGACCTATGCAAGTCCCCACGGGCCACGCCCTTCAGTTGAGAGAAGACCCTACCTCGCTGGAGCCAACTGGACCCCAGAATTCCGGCAGCCCTGGAATGGCTCTGCCTCTTCTGTCTGTGCTCCTAGTGCCAAGCCAAGATCCTAGCACAGAGCCCTCAACTAATACTCGCTGGAGGAGTGAAAAGTAATAGTACTTTCATTTTCAATGTCATCCTTGGAAAGGAAGAGAGCTAGGGGAAGAAGAAAATAGACTTGAAATT